AAGTCCACCCATCTTAAAGTTGCCAAGGTTGAGGAACCCTGTGTTAACAAGAGCAGGAAATAGCTGAGTCAGGTTGGTTGTGTGAGTAGGGCCAGATAATACATGCTGTTGGATCTGTCTTTTCCAAGAAGAGACACAGCTAACGCACTAGCTATATCTGGGCTTAGTCACAACCACCATCTGGCATTTTAGAAGCAACATTGGATCCAGAAGTACTTCATCTGTTTCCTCAGAGGAAGAATGCAACGCTATGTAGAACACACTGCATATTCAATTCATATTTACTTGTTTACTGAGCCTCCGTGTTCCTGCCTTGTCATTGTTTTCAAGCAAGGAACATTTAGTTTCCTTGGTATCATTTGAAAGAAAAGATAAATTCGGATGCCGTTAACATATTGATGGCAATCAGTCCTAGAACCCTGGATGAGTTCTCCCACAGATTTCAGGAAGATGCTAAAAAGTCGCTTTGTGTGAGATGGGTGGCTATATAAATGTGATATATAAATAAATAACATAAATAAAAAAGAAGTGGGAACTTCTTTAAACCACTTCAAGCTTCATTGAATTTCTGTTCCTGATGAATTCACAGATAGAGCCATGCAGTTTTCTTAGCAACAATATAGAAGTAGATTGAATTGCCTTCTTCTGGAATTATTTTCAGTTTCCCAACTTAGCCACCAGAGCTGAGGTTTCTTGATCTCCCTTTCTGGTACTAACCATGTCTGATCCTGGTTGGTTTTTTTCAAAATCAAGTTTAGGTTAGGCTTTGTATATAGATTTTGTGGAGTCCCACCTTACTGCTCAGACAGTCTGGAATGGAACAGGATAAAACTCTTAATCATAAATAATGCATAACAAAATAACAGGAAACTGCCTGCAATTTGGGGCAATCACATTGCCAAATTTCAGCAAAGTGGTGGGAAGCTGTGTATGGCATATGCACCTGGTGTTCACAAACTACTCAACCTAGAAGCTGTTCTAATTTAAAAAAAAAAAAAAATCATTCTTGAACCCATAAGGATCCACATTCCTGGTATAATTCAAGAAATTCTGGATTTGGGGTTGCCATCACAGGCTGTAGCACTTTAAAAAAATTGGGACGGCAGCTGTATTCTTGGCCTTGAAAACTTCCTGGCTAAGCAAATTTAGTCTCATGTTTTTCCTCCTTGTTTTCCGAAGGAGTACAACTAACATTTGAAGAACTAATGAGGTCCACAAGTTTCCAATTTTGCCCAGCTCTGTGACAAAGGTCCCAGATGAAAGCTACAGCGAGAAGTAGGGAACAACGGGGAAAAGTTCTGCCATTTGTTTGTCCATTTTTAAAGAAAACCTTTTTTTGTTTCCATTACAAAGCAAGGAACTTGCAACATCTCTGTGGAGCACCATGTTTAATAAATGCAACTGTGCTGGAGACATATTTTTTTTGACCGACACCCTCCTGGTTCCATCGGTAGGACTAGCGATTTCACACAAAACGTCTCTGCCAGGGCTGTTTATGGAAAACATCTGAAGTCTCTAAAATAAACCCTATAAAAATGTATGATCAATAAAACAAAGGGTTATTGCCACCCAGCATAGTATCCTGGCAAACTGTGCTTTAAGGAGACATGCCGAAAACAAAACCATTTTGAACTGAAATCAGCTGCCAGCTGTTGGCTACATAAAAAGAAATGCTCCTAAGAGTCAAGCAATACTAATATTTTTCTTATTCTGCAATGGGTGTATCCCATCATCAGAAATACATGGCTACACTGTTGGGATGGGCATGTAATAATTAAAGGGTTATACAACCTGCTACCTTTCAGCACCCAGGTTAAATGCACTGTGTGAATATTGGCTCAGAAGGCACCTTTTTCATGTTCTTAGGAACAAGAAGTCTGACAAGACCTTTCCATATTGCATTTTGTGGGGGGCGCTAATTAATCTACCCTGCAGAAAATAATACTCCCCTTCAACCCTCCAGCCTGGATTTGTAGAAGTTGGAAAGAAGCAGCTTTGCTTTCTGTCCCTCTCTGGCTTTTCCATGCAGAGTATCTGAGTGGCTTTTATTGGGTCTTCCTCCTTGAGTTGGTTGGACTCAATGACACATGACTGAATGTCAAGAGGGAACCAACAAACAAACCAAATGATCTCTCCCTTGTGGATCATCCGTGATACAGTCCTATTTTGAGCTTGCTCTGTACAGGTAGATCCACACCACCTTAATGTGAACAAGACTCGTTTGTGGTGTCCTTGGTGCTCTCTGAGCTTGGCTGTTTGCTTGCAGACATCTCATTACCTGCATGATGACGTTACCTAGCTGGGTAATGAAATATCTGCAAGCAAACAACCAAGTTCAGAAAGCATCGATTTCACAGTTCAACCCTGAGCTACATATATTCTCCTGTATTGCCAAAACTAGTTTATTCACTAATTTGACAGGGAAATGCACATGTGATGGCTGACCCAAACTCAGGAGGTCTTTATTTCTGCAGCATAGATCCCACCCAATTCCACAAAGATTGGAGTGGCTTACAAATGATGCCGAAGCTAAATAGAAAGGGTGAGAAGAAAAATGGTCCTGCGATTAGGAGACCTTTTCATGGCAAGATTTGCATTGAGCAAGTGCACATTAACCCAGCTCTCCCGATGTGCCTGTCACCCCACTACTCCAATGTCCTTCAGAAGTCTCTTAAAACTCTTGGGCTTGAGGGATCTTTCTCTACAAACAATCAGTCAACAATTCACCCCCATTTAAGAAGCTGACCTTACAGGACGGGGAGGTGCAGGAAAGAGTGAAGCTATTCCTGTAAACCAGGATCAGGAAATTACTTGAGGCTGTTGGAGAACAGCCTAGTGAGGCAACTGGAAACCTCTTGAGGAAAGGACACACAAAGGCTGTGGAGGACGAGCAGAAAGGAGTGTTTGTTTGCTACTACTCCGGAGTCTTTTGCTCTCCCTCCCAGACACACACATGCACACACAGAGAGCTCCAGTAGGTTGTTTACAGCTGAAGGGAATAGAGAACAGAAAAAGGGTCCCTTTTCAATTGATGATTAACACTGTGGGTCAAAATTTGCTCCTTTTGGCTACTTGACGGAAACTTTTCTTAGAGCCAATGGCATGAGTAGATTAATCAACCAAAGCTTTGGTTGATTCATCTACTGATGCTATTGACTCTAGAGGAGATCCAGCTTTGGATTAGAATGGCTTAGTGCGATGACTGAACCCAACCAACCTGGATTGTAAACCATGGTTTAGGACTTAGGGTGTTGTGATGCAAACTCAGCCAACAGGTCTAGTAGGAGAGAGGACACTGCATGGCATTGGGCAACCTGAAGATGGCCAGTGGAGTTGGGCAGGTCTTCTGCACACCCTCAGCACCCCTGAGATGGGTGGGACTGACTCTCCTGGGGAGGGGGAGGGGAAATACACCCTTCACCACCACCCTGAATGTTCAGGGGGGAGGGATAAATGGCCATTCTGCCATGAAAGCCCTGGGCCATGCCAGGCACCCCAACCCACCTGGTGCTCCTAACCCACTTCCCGGCAGGAAAGGAGGACACTTGCTTTGGGGGTTCAGCTGGTGGTTTTCACTGAAGGAACGAAGATCATGGAAAGAAGCCCGGGAATATATATAAACCTGCCCCAGTGGATAGACTGATCATGAATAATCAGTTTGTCTTAATAACACAATCGGAGCACAATCAGCCCGAGCGCCCTCCCGGTTTTACTACCTAGCAATCGATCTTTTGTCTGCCTTTTCCCATTTGAGTTCCCAATCGGACGAACATCTCCCCGCAGCTCCCTCTCGGAGTAAATCACCCGGGGAGGGGGCCGGTCCTCCTCCTTCCTCGTCCGTGAAACCTCCCCCTCTCAACCGTGGATGAGGGCGGGGAGAAGGGAAAATCCACAGGACTGGGCAGTCCCCCGGATCCCGCGACCCGCTCGCCGCCCAATCGCGGCCCTTTCCCGTCGACCGCCGAGCCCCCCGCCCCGCCGAGCCCCAGGACCTCCGCTCCCT